ATCATTTTAATAAATTTCAAACGTTTTAAAATTATTTATCATTGACACTAATCACAACATATATTGAACCAGCTTTGTGTATTATACTATTAGGCACTGTGGAAAGTATAGTATTGTTTAATAAACTGCCTTTTGACATTTTTCACCACTCCTTTATTGAAATACACTTAAAGTTTTGCTAGGAAGACGTGATATGCCAATGTTAAAAGCATTTCTATGGGAGTTACTAGAACTGGAAAGGAGGTCAAAAAGTTGTTTTTTTTTTTTTCAGTGGTAGAGATTGAACCCAGGTCCATGAGCATGCTATGCAAGCACTCTACCACTGAACTACATCCACAGCCCTTGGGAAGTAGATTTTGAGTTGTATTTCTGAAAATGAAAGAAGGTAGACTATTTCAGACAGGGAAAAGCTTGTTTAAGGGCATAGAAGAACCACAGCACATCATGGTATGTTAGACACTTTGCAGAGATGAGAATTCATAATGGGGAATAGTTATCATCTAAACTGCTAGAGAGCAGGGGCTGACTCTTGTTTTTTGGTATTCTTACTTTGTATCATAGTATTCAATAGACTGGTGTTCAAAAATGTTTGTTAAATTAATAAAATCATATATGTATTTTTTACAGTGGGCATACCTTCACAGGGTATGCCCTGTGGTACTATGTTGTCAAAAAAATGTTTGTAAAAACAACGATTGAAAAGTTATGAAATGATAGAAAGGCAAAGAATGAAAGGTAAGTTGTTTCTTAATTGTAGAATCCTTTATTGACCATCTTAAATTTGGACTTTATTTTGTGTCTGAATCTTTCAGAGGAGAGGAATGGCACAATGAAGGTGATCACCTTGGATCCAAATCAACTGACTTACCAATAGTGTAAAGATAGAGGAAAGTTTAAAAAGGGAGTCTACTATTGGTGATACAATTTTAATATTTCAAAATGAAAGACTCATTATATAGATAGTTTGTTGGGATATTTGCTCTGGAGATGAGACAAGAAGAGATTACTGGTGTTTTGAAGCTCCACCCCTTACCTCCCCTCCCCATCCCATTTTGTCACTGAGCCAGGGACAACCCTGGAGAGTCAGGGACAACCCAGGAAGTTCTGTGAGCGTTTATTGTTTAGCGTTTATTGTTTAGCGTTTCTTCCAACTGTGACTGCCGGTGAGTGTAAGCATTTGAAATCACAGGATCTGCAGCTACTGAACAAATTAAAAATGTGTTTTCAAATCTTTCTCCATTTTGTCAGGAATCGTTCTACCACTGCAGTAGGTTTTCTTTCTGTGGCAGTGTACCGGCTCCCAGGTAGGGGATTTACCCTTTCTTTTCCTTTTCCTGCCAGTCTGTACTTAAGACTCTGTGCTTATTTCCCCGAAGATTACTGAAGGCTTTTGAAGCTTTCCCTTTCTGTGCAGAGCAGATACAGGCAGCAACTCTGCAGAGCCAGAAGTGAAAGAAGGCCCAGTCAGGATTTGTTTGTTTATTGTTAGGGAAACAGTCCTCATGTTCATGTTTTATACAAAATATAGGGGTAGGATTCAGGTTTAGGGATTTTCTTGGATCTATAATAGGAAGGATATTTACTGTTCAGATTTTTCTAAATTGAAAATCACTGCCACATGTTCTAATGTAAATATTTGGTTTTTCTATTTGCATTCTGGGGAATTGCCTTCAAACCTACTTTTTCTATTATATTTCTACTATTGTTTCATGATTTTATTTCTTGAAATTGGCTCATATAGAACTGTCAGAAATCTAACCCATATGCATTATGAATTGTAT